AGCGAGATCATCTCCACTTACCCCAGGGAGAGAGAGTTAGGAGTATATATGAAAATAAGTTAGTACATATAAATATAAAACCATTTATCCTGAACTAAAAGAAGATTGAGATTTAGAAATCCACAACATGAAAATTAATATGTCGAGCGAAATAATCCAAATAAGAAAACTCTCATGTATATACCATATCTCAAATTGTGAATCGCTAAATCCTAACTCCAGAGTCCTAGGAATAAAACAGTAAATAAAAGAGACACAAGTCCAAACCTCAATAATACAAGTCACATCAAATCCTCATACCATCCTCGGATAGTTGGCACGGTTATAAAGAATATCATCTGATACGTTCATCTCACATAGAATAGGCTATGTATGACAACCTCAGTATATACCCTACTCTCGGGTAACTAACAGGGAATCATAACTAAAATCTGTGTAGTTCTCTATCTAGAAATATAGTAATACACATGGGGTGAAGTCTACCGTGGTCTTATTGTAGTATACCAACTAACACACCCTGAGTGTAGTTCCCCACGGTCTCGTTACGGAGTGCTAACTATCCCACTCAGTAATGATGCACAACGGAGTGTAGTCTGCTACGGTCTCATTGTAACATACCAACTAACCACCCTGAGCGTAGTCTACCACGGTCTCATTGCGATATACCAACTAACGCAGTCAAGCATCCGACTATCATGAAATGTAATATATGTGTCACTATCTTTTATGATGAATCTCAAAAATATATGTTACTCACCTCTATCGCTCGTGCGAACGCAACCCCAAAACATATACTTCAGTGACCAAACATGTATCTCGATCTGCGAACCTGAACTTCATATTCATGATTAACTCATGTACCAATTAAACAATAAACATAGCGCAACATAGATCAGTCGACCGAAAATAATTCTTCAGTCGACTAAAATACATGCACAAATATGCATATGCAAATTAATAGGGATCGATCGACCGACTCCTTCACTTCGGTCGATCGACCCGAGCACAAATAGAATACATGTTTTAGTTTTTGGATTTTGATCTACAATGCTACAAATTGCTAATTTTACATGAAGACACATAAAATAAATCTTATCTAATGTGATTATGGTTCAGTTATTTACATGAAATACAAACATGATATCTAGTTAAGTTGTCTAAACCCTAACATGTTCATATTCATTAAAAACATCATGGAAACCAATATATTGATTGCAAAAAACACAATCTTCATATTCTCTAATGAAACTCGCCTCAAAACGCTGCTGGAAAACCCAAGGATGTAAGAAAACAAGTTTTCCCTTGCCAAACACTGACAATCTCGACCTCTTCTTGGTATTTGTTTCATAAAGCTCTCAAAATTCACCACAAATATACTCTAGGGTTTTTGAGAGAAGATGGTGGCTGCTAGGGTTCACAAATTTGATGTAAAAGAGAAATTTCAGGTGTTTAAAACCTGAAACAAGTCAAGTCATTCTGACCCGAAACAGGAAACCCAGTTAGACTGGAAAAATAGTATTTGGTATTTTTACTATAACTTTTTTGTCCGACCTCTGAATGAGGTGATTTAAGATGTGTTAAAAAAACTATTGAAGAGATCTATAACTTTTATCTTTTTGGTTTTTCTAGATTTGAATTGTATCAGTGTGTAATTCATATATACTCTTAATTGGTCGTTTTTCTAGATTCGAATTGTATCGATGTATAATGAATATATACTCTTAATTGATCTTAAATAAATTACTATCATGTTCATTCATTATTAAATGATATTTATCATGATATAAATCATTTAATACTATTTATCCTAGTATTTTTATAAAAAATTACGGGGCTTTACATCATGGGCTTTTACAGGAGACAAATTTATTATGCTCATTCAAGGTTAGTGAGGGCTATGATGATGATATTGTTTTAAGAAAGTAATCTTAGATATGCAATCAAAGTATCTACTTGTACATGTTTAGGTGAGGCAAGAAATTGCAGCCTACATTGCTAGTAGATATTCTTTGGTGTGACATACATTGATGAAATAAAAAATATCCGAGCCCCTATTTGTTGATTTCTCACACTTTCATTCTTAAAATCTACATCAGCTTTGTGTGATCTTTAATATATGACTTAGTTGATACTTCAACTCAACAAAGTCATATGTTAGTTTCCATGTTCTTTTCTGAATTGATGGTTTTTTGTTGTATTTTTGCCCATGATTTTTTTTGGGTTCATGAATCTTTTTATATGGAATGCTTTAGCTCAGCTAGCTTCATATGTTGATTTTTTCTCATATTCCATGTTCCCATGAATTTCATAGATTGACTAATATAGTGTTTAAGCATAAATGTTTACAGTCTAACATTAGGTAATTCTTAAGACTTATTGAAACTTTATCCCCCCCTATAGAACTGAGTAAGAAGTAAGAGAACAATATGCTTATTGTGTTCAGCTTTCCTCTTCATATGTCTTCATCACTTAGATAAATTACTGAAAAAATGTTTTCTCTTGTGTTGTTTTGTTTTCCATGCAGTCAGTGTTTACTTTTAAGATCTCATTAGTATTTCTTGGACAATTTTGTCTTAGCCTTGTAAGTTAACTTTTTTTATTTGTTGCATTTCCATGCAAATGATAGGAACTGTTTTAGTGGAACGGCAAGGCATTTTGTTCCATGTTCTCATGAATTTCATTCCATGTTATTCATTTGATTAACAAAGTGCAAATTACAAGTGTTGCTACATACATGATCATGAAAAATGAGAGAGTCAAAATTAGAGCAAGGTTTAATGTAGCTATTTGTTGACATGAGAGTCTCAGTTCTTTCTTCAATAGCTTTGCTTTGACTAACTGATTTTTATTGGCAACTTCATCACTAGTCTCTAATACTGATTTAGCAATCTGTCCATCTTGAGCCCAACGAAAATATTTGCATTTTCTGTTTGGGTATGATGCACAACCCCAGAAATATTTTCCCCATTCTTTCCATTCTTGTAGGGCTTCAATGGCGTGGGAATGTTGCAAAAACATCTAACTTTATGTGCATGAGATCCTTCTGATTTCATCATCTTAGAAGTGAGTGAAATTTGTGTTTGTTTTGGGTTGGAACAAGCTACAATGCAAGCTTCTTAATGTATCATGGTTGCCCAGGTATACACTTGGTATATTTATAAACAAGTTTGTGTTCAAATGATTCTCTCCCATGTTGGTCCCTCTTGTTACCGTTGGTTGACTTTTTTATCGTTGGTGTACCTACATGCCCTTTTTATGTTGTTATTGAGTGATTTTAAAATCTATATTATCCTTTTTCTCACTCATTTGCGGATCCAAACTGAGAATTTATTGAGTGGTATGCTTAAATTGTTGGTTCAAATTGAGTGGGTTTTTGTTTTATTGAGTGATATGCTCAAATCGTTGGCTCAGTTGCAAACTAGTTACAAGCATACCCAAGGGCTGATACAAAATTGTTCCTCTTTGTTTAGTCCCTATCTTGCTTCATGAACTAAATGTTTTTAGCTGCTCATATCTATATCCTAGAAATGTTTTCAGATGCTCATATTTATATGTTGTTATTGTTATTCAGGTTATGAACACTCAATTCATGATGGCTTTCCATGTGAATTTTTTTACTAATACTAGGGCTATGATGATGGTATTATTTTGAGAACGCATTATAAGATTTATAATCAAAGATTCATGTTGCCTATGTTTAGGCGAGACAATATTTTGTAGCCTACAATGCTAAAACATAAACTTTGTTGTGGCACACGATGATAAAATAATTTTATCTAAGCCCATCATTGTTTGAGGACACTTTGATATACGACTTTTAATATGTGTATTCTTTGATATGTTGCAGCTTCCCCATTTGTGCAACCCATGTAGTTGACAGATGTTTCAGTTTATTTTGTAAATATATGTTGGCTGCAAACTGGTTACGAGCATATCCGTGTGGGTTTTGTTTCAAAATTGATGGTTTTCTTGTGGGGTTTGTTCTATTGAATTACCTTTGAGTCAGGAGGAGCAGGAGGATCAATTGAACATGTTATGTATTACCCATATCGAATTTTGTAAGGCATCGGTGTGTTGAAGTCATCAACTATGCGATTGGTAACATGTTTTTGGCTACTGTGCAGATTGCGATCTTTCAAGGTTGTCTCACTAGGTTGTTGTTTAGGTTCTTTTCAGTGCATTTTTTTTACATGTCGACGGTTTTAGCTTTCTTAGTCCATTGTTGCCTATATTGCCACCATTGTTATCAATCATCTCTGTAGCGACACATTTATTCATTGTGCAACCCATCATTGTTTGCATCCTCAGTCCCTATCTTGCTTCAGTTCAACTTTCAATCCGTTATGAACTAAAATATGGTTGATTGGTATATTTATAAATATATGTTGGTTTGTAATTTTCCTTCCACTTTTTTTAGAACAAAACTGAGAAAGTACATTGGAAATGATTTGCCAACAATTTTTTTGGATGAAAAAAACTCTTTCCGAGAAAAGCATGGAAAAACATGGAAATGATCTTCTACTACAAGATTTGTTTTCTAGGATATTTAGGATTTGAAACAAACACACCCTTAAGGGAAACTAGATGAGAAAAGGGAAGGGAGTTTCCTTTCCCTTGGTTACACCCCAATGCGGGGGTAATAAATTTTATACTATTAGAGGGTGAACTAAGGAGAACTAGAGTTAACTTCACCTCCTAAATGTTCCCAAACAAGGTGAATGATTCTCCTAACTTTCCTTCTCCCTTATTCCTCTCAATCCAAACAAGTCCTAAATGACTTAATGTTTACTCCATGTTTAACTTTGAGGATATGTTTCACAACCCTCTAAAACGCGGTTCGGGATTGAACCAATTTTGGATTTTTTTTAGTAAAGAGTTAGGGTCAAAATTAGGCCATATTTTAAGGCAAAAAAAAAATTGTTAAAATGGTTTTATATTCGATCGTCCCTCTCCAAGTTCAGACCAAAATTAGTTTTAGGATGAAATTGTGCCAGGACTGCTCATGGACCAGTTTTTGATTGCTTACGAACACATCCTGATACCCTGAACTTGAAACTCTTTTCCTAAAACAATATGGAAAAGTTCAAAAAGTTCAATTTGATACCCAAGTTCAGTCAGTTTTGGGTATCAAAGTTAAAATTTTTTAACTTTATGGTACCTTTAAGCAAAAACAAAAAGTTTCAGGATATCAAAATTAAAAATAGTGTAAACTTTGTGGTCTTTAAGTGCAAATAACCATTGGAATAAAATATGGATAATTGCATATCAATCCCTTAATTTAATCTTAATTGTCAGGTAGTGCCTCAAAGCTCGTTATTTTCTTATTATCCCTTAAATCTTCATTTACATTGTAATTTGATCCCATTGTTAGGGAGTCTATTAATTTCTCTAACACTAGTTGGACTATGCATTAACCTAACATCTAAAATTACTGAAAAGTCCCAAAGTTTTTCATGTAGGGTGTTCTCTACCTCTAGTACCAAATATAATCATTGAAAAAGCTCTGGAATAAGTTTGGGGAAGCTCCTGACCATTGAAGAAGAAGCTAGTGGAATTGGATTTTAGTTAGAGCGGTAAGTATAAATCTATTATGAAATGGGTTGACAAGATTTTTAATGATAGGGTTGATTATGCGTGTGGGAATAACAATAAAATCGTCTAATTCCATTAAAGTTAATAGAAGTTTACCCTCATCAATAATGCCACTTAACAAGAGGGATAAATTTGCAAGAAAATTAAATATTAAAGGACTAATAAGCAAATACTGAGATTTGAGGGACTATTTAGCAATTAAAATTTTAAGAGACTAAATATGCAAATACCCCAATAAATAACTTGTTCGAATCTTTTTCAAACTTGTTCTTTCCTTACGTGATGTATGATACTTGTATTATAAAATGTTTTTTATAATAGTTATTAGCATTACAGTGCATGTGATGTGTGCATAATATAGGATCCGGGAGAGTGTTATAGTTGAATTGTTAAGGAAACAGACAATTTATTAGTATCTTGGATTTACCAAGTTTGAGGACATTTTGATTGATTTTTCATGCGTGGTAATATTTTGCTGATTTTTTCAAGTGTGAGGGTATTTTCTTATAGAAAGGGACTTCTCTTAAATGTATATAATATAAATATATGTTATAGACAGATATTTATAATATTATGATTTGATAGTTACCGTTTGTTCACTCTAAAAGGTTATGTATACTGTACATTAAGAATGCTATTAAAATAACAATTAGATAGAAAAAAAAAATCAATAGTAGTATTTTCTTTTCAAACTGAAATTTCTAATATGCAAGATATGACATCCCTTTCTATAAGAAAAGAATATTTTATTTTATATGAAGAATAAATTTATTAATATGAAAAGTAATTACTTCCTATAGATTAAAAGAGAATACATAGGAAAAATGGAAGACGTATATATCTACTAGTTGGATTGCACGTGCAATGCATGCACGTGGTAAATTTTTAAATTTATTATTGATTCATTTCATTATGATTTATTTAATTTAATCTATGTTTCAAACATATAGATAGAATTTAAAAATTAAAAAAGATTGAATAATGAAATTACATTATGTATGAACTTGATGATAATAGATTGTTTGCATACTTACCAATAGAAAACAATGAATAATTTTATAAAAGAATTTTATTTGATATACATTATTGATTTTCAATCAACCAATGCTACCTATATATAGTTGACATCAGACAACCTATTTAATCATAATCATCCAATATAAATAAATGTTACTAAAATAGTAACATCAATTTTTTTTTAAATTGCTAACAAATGATCATTTTCTGAAATTGCTTCAGTCAAAAAATCGACATAATTGAAGGAGGAAAACAAACATGAACTCTTAATAATCCTGAAAGTAGAAACTCTTGTAGGTTTTAAACAAATGTCTGTAGAAGTATTATAATAGGTTTTAGACGATGAACATAATCAAACAAGAAATGCAAATAAGTTCATTGTTATCACGTTTCATAAAATAAGGCGTTTTGAGATGAGCACCCCGTTGAAAGCAAACACATTTAATCAATAAATCATAAAACATTGGCAATTTGTTTTTTCAGAGGAATACATTCACAACTATACCAAGAGCACTCCCTGCCAACAAGAAGACAATCTTAGGGATTAAAGAACGCCAATACAACCACTCATGCAGAGCCACCATCTAACAGCTATGCATTCTTCAAATAATACAGAAAAAAATAGTTACTATTCCTACTTTCATCACATTTCATGCCATCTTTTCCTTTGAAAGATCCTTCTTTCGCTGCCCTAGCATGTTAGTATACATGTGTGGGCTCACTATGACAAGATGTGTTCCAGCAAAAGCCAATCAGAGTACTCCCATGGATGAAGCTTAACACTTACTTCAGAAATCAACGTACGTTTAATTTACACAATCAAATGAATAAAGCCAAGTTAACATTTCCTCCAAAACACGGAATTTTTTGTACATAAAGCTCTCAAAATATGTCCATAAACAAACCTGAAGGCAAACAGATAGCAAATTTTCTCTCCAAAGTCATCACCATTGTTCTGCTTCGAAATCTTACTCTTTTCAAGCTTATTAACGGAATCCTTCGACATGCCTCCAGTGCCGCCGGTCTCAAAAATATCAAGAACCTCAATGAAGGGAGCATCAACAGCACTCATCTACAATGAACAATATCCCCAGAAAAAACACGAGTCTTATAATATGATGCATGTTTCATTACCCAGTAAATGTTAAAATATACTTGACTCTGCACTGCGCTCTGAACCGCAGGGCCAACCTTCTCTCTGAAAAGAGAAGATTCAACGACTTCAATAGAGAAAACAGCACCAGAGATCGCCCCGATTCCGGCCCCTCGAAAAAGCCCACTCTCAGTAGCCAATCCAATTACCCCACCAGTAATCGCTCCTACAACTGAACACACTGTTCAAAAACAACAAAGATCAAATTTTGATTAGAAAAACTAAATTAAGACACAAATTAATTGGGACCCAACTCAAAAATTGAGACAAATCACAAACCTGTAGCAAAGACACAGGTGACAATAGCGCATATGATCTTTTCAGCATCAATTGACTCATAAAAATCAAATTTAAGTCATCCAGACAACAAAATTGGTAACTGTCCTTACCTTAATTAACCACTTCAGCCACTTCTCTCAGAAATCCAGCTTCTTTGTAACTTCTTCTGTGAAATGATGATTCGTGCAAGTGATTGATCAGAAAATTAGGTGATCATTTATGATGAACTGACACGAAGGAGGCACATACACATCAGAGACCTGATATATGGATATGGAAATCAGTGTAAAACTTGCGCACTAATATGGCGAATTATTTGGTTTGGTAAATACTGGGCGTCGCAAAACATATTTCTAGATATCTTGAGTTTTGTTTATGTTTGGATTGTATCTGCTAATATCTCTAGGTATTAGGGTCCTTCACGCTGTTTTTCTTAATGAAAATAATTGGAGCAGAAGCTCCATATTTATCTCCATAGAATAAGTTACATGTCAATTCAATATTAATATCAACAGAAATGCCTCCACCAGTCTTTTTATTGAGAGAGAGGGAGACACACACGCACACACACGGAGAGATAGAGAGAGAGTGTGTGTGTGTATATATACACATACATACACACACACATGGACAGTGCCTTTGCATTTAGCAGAACAAATACAAACAAAAAGGTCCAACCATGAAAAGAGATCCGATTTGATCTAGAAGGCAATTTGATCTAGAAGGAAATTCTCCCTTTGACCAGTACCTAAAAGAACTAAACCTACAGTATGAATGCCAAGACATTTAAAGTGCTGTTCTCAAAAAGAGGAAATAAATATTGCATAGGTTCATTCTGAGAGAGCATTTTGTATATAAAGATTATGAATGTATCAAGCAAAGGGACATAAAGGAACATGGATCTAAAATTATTTCTGACATATATTTGCCCATGTATATTTTAACTAATCAAATGAAATTTGTGAAATTTCTGACTTCTAAATGAAACAGAATTCGTTTAGGATTTAGGCGTATAACTTGAAGCTTTTATAAACTGGACACTACACCAAGAAATTTTGTAAAAAGCTTTATCACTTCAAAGTTCAAACATGTGATATCAAAAGTTGATCAGTTATGAGAATCTGTCAACAAAATAAATTCTACTTCCCAATGGAACCAGAATTTACTATTTGATGCTAATAGGAAACAGTCTACGCCTAACAAACTTAGCTCACAATCACAACATCAAAAAGCCAAAACATGAAGTAGTGACACATGCAAACCTAGCAGATAAATCACATCCATAAAAATTAAGATAGATTTAGAATCCAATTATAACCTTAAATATCCAGCTCCAATTACTCAAATTACTCAATTTACAGAGCAAAATTCTCAAAAGGTATCAAATTCAAAAAATTAAAGGATTTTGAGGGGATTAACCAAAAAAAGCTCAAAACATCCTCTCAAATATGAAACACCATGCTATCTAATTAACCATACTTTATTAATTCTTCAGAATTTATAATGGTGGACCCACTAATAACTCTCGGCAGTGACTGCATATGGCAGAAAAGGGAAAGAACACAAAGGAAGAACAAACGAATATCGCCTGGAAACATCTATTTATTTCATGAATACAAGAATATACAATATATAAAAGTAGAAAAGACTGGAAAAAGATTCAAAAACAGGAAATCCCAATATTCAGTTTCAGTAGCTCATTTAAATTTTAATAAATTAAATGATGACTGTCTATTAAAAAACTATGGCACCAACCTACAATTCACCTCCCCCTACCCCCCCTACGCGGCACCCGTTTCAAACAAAGTCAAAAAGAAATGGGAAAAAACTCACTTGCTGCTTCTAGATATCATACAATCAACCAACCAGCAAAAATGGAAAATAAATAAATAAAAAACAAATTCAAACTACAATTATATTTGTGTGGGTGTGCAAGTGCATATTGTGGTCATGCATGGTGTGTGGTCAAAGATTTTGAAACTTTTATGGATTAACCTCCAACTAACGCATCAAATCTTTAATTCCAGTAACACAACCAAATTCAACTAATCAAAAACTTTAATTGCCAACAACCAACTAATGAAATAAAGACCCTAATCAACTATTTGTCCTAAACAAGCCTCGTTTTCTATGCATAAACATTCAACTAATGAAATAAAGACCCTAATCAACTATTTGTCCTAAACAAGCCTCGTTTTCTATGCATAAACATCTCATCTCCAAGAAATAATTCAAAGCCTCGTTTTCTATGCATAAACATCTCATCTCCAAGAAATAATTCAAATTAATATTTAATATAAAAAACATGAGAAAATATATAGAGTGCTTAAGAGGAAATTACGTGGATCTTGAGTTTGGAATACCTCGTTAGATATCAAGGATAGGTTTCATGAAGGAGTACTAAGTTAGTTGCATTTACATGTCTTGGTAGCCTTTCTTGAGCGGCTTAAGGTAGATTTCAGAAAGAGATATGGAGGTGGTAAGGCTGACACGGTAACTGCCAAAATTATCTATAAATAATTTGGGTGTGTTTTCTTCTCTTTTCTTTGTTTAGGAGGTCCTTTTCAATTTCTGTGTATCATCGGGGATTCTCATGATATCATGTTTTCTATTATTTGCAGATCAATTATAAAGGAACATATGCAATATATTCTTGAGCATGCCGACAAGATACAAAAGGTTTTAAAAGTTAAGGCCCAAGTTTCAGAAATCAAAAGCATCATGTTGTAAAACATTGAGAAGGTTTGTACTTTGTTTCACCGTCCGCTTCATCAATACCTACCATAGATTGTATATGATTAATTGTAGTGTTAATATTCTTAAATTTTGTCTGCTTGTTATGTATTTTCCCTTTTTTTCCACTATTCCATGTATATTAAAAAAACATTGCAGGAGTGCTAAGTATGTCGTATAAAAACCGAATATATTCTACTATACAAACAATTTAAAGTTTGAAAGTTTCCTGGGAGGTAAAAGATGTAGATAATCTTGTAAAAAATTATTAGTTTGGGAGAACTTAAACTAATTGTAGCTATATAGTGTCTCATCCATTAGCCTTTATTGTAGACTGCACCATAGATGGATCAATATCAGTGGATACACAAATAATATTAAGAAGAAACCAGACACAAATTTAAGCAAATAACTCACCACATCCAACTCTTCCACTAGCATTTCCGTGCCATATCCCAACTTAACTTGGTGTTCCTTGTCATATAGGCTACACAACTAATGTAGAACTAAAAGTATAATATTATTGTTTCATATTGGTAACTTAGCAACCATATGACAATCAAATATGAAGGAATTATTCATCAAATACTAAAAATGCATAATCATCTAAACACATGAAAATTCCCAAATTAGCAACCATTTGGTTAAAAAAACAGTGATAAGCACATAAATACCAAAATTAAAAAATTAAAAATGAGATACAAGGGGAAAGGGAACATTAAGGCATACATCATGGCGATGTCTAACTATGTTTAGTTTAAAACGGTCATAAAATGCGTCTAGGCCTCCATCTGAGAACTCTCATGTGGTGCACGCCCTCTCAACTTTTCATCATGTGTTCCTCCGGCGTCTTAATCATTATTTTTTCCACCGTGATCTGTTTTATTGCGTTCTCCTCCCCTTTCTTCTTATCTCTTGTTTCTTTTCTCAATGAAATATCGCCTTCTACTACTCCTTCTCACCCATTATTTTTTTCACCACCACTTTTTTTATTGCATTATCCTTCTCTTTCTTTTAATTATTTCTCAATCGTTATCTTTTTCACCGTCACGATCACTCTTCCTTTATTTTATTTTATTTTTTTCTCTTCCTTCAGTTATCTCTCTTTCTTTTTCTTCTTCTCCTATTGTTGCCGCATCATTTAAAGCCTATCATTTTCAGCTTAAAAGGAACAATCTTTAAGAGTGTTTTAACTAATACTAGTTCATCGATAACATATCTTAGGAGCAAATAGGTACTTTTATATTTAATACCATTCATTTAGATTTATGTATTTGAACAAGAAAAAGGTCCAAGACTAAACCGACATGAAGATACTCAAACTCCTGCTTTTACTAATAGCCAAAAACACAGAATGAAACATGAATAGTGAAGCGACCTGGATTTACTGAACCACTTTGTGATGTGACATCATTCATATCAACTGAACAAGAGTCATTCCTGCGGATATTTGCGGTTTTACTGTTGCCATCCCTAAATATAAAAGTAGGATAAATGAACTATAACAGGACATAACAACTGAGTTATTATCGTGTACATAACAAGCAAATACCTTGCCCTTAAATCTGCACTGCTGCCTTGCCTACGTAATGGAACAAATAAAAGCAAATAAAGCCTCCATAAGTGACAGCACTATGTAGACAGGAGAGAAAAAGAAAAACAGTTGAGATCATATATAGAGTTTCTAGTATTCTACAGAAAAATAGAAATGTGTTATAATGTTCAGATTTTAGTCTAGGGAAAAACAATCATTTTCTAGTTCAGCCATGACTGTACTGATCAACAATACAACATATCATTCAACATATGGAACTTAGTTTGACATTTACCTCTCCCTGTTTTAAAGAGATCCAAAATTTGATGTATTTCAACAAATTTCTTTTAGGCCTTTATCTATTATTAACTCCTTGAGAAGGGCCTCTGCTTGTGATTTAAAGGACAATTTTATCTGCAGTTCACCTCTGAGCTTTTTATGAAGCACTCATGTTCACAAGGTCATATAAGGTCTCAAAAGCCCAAAATTGGACTTATTCAGAACATAAAGGAGATGACGATTTTCAAAAAGCACATGTTTATGACATTCTCTTCGCAAAATTGGTTGAAGAAACAAAACTGACATCAGAAGCTGTAATCTAAGAAAAAAAATATGTAACCATGAAAGACAAGAATCTAGTTAACCAATTTACAAATTCAGGTACTATGCCCTATGAAATGAAGATAGTATATGTGTTTATATATAATCCAACTGATACCTTTAGGTTCCTCCGTTGGAGAAAGAAGGGAAAAGGATTCAAATAGACAAGACATTCTCTCAATTGCTGCCTCCGATATGGATCTTTTGAGAAGCTGTAGAAAGTAAATACATAAAAATGAGAAATTTGGCCTCTTAAAACCATTATAAGAACACATCTAGAGCAGGAATATGCATCAACATTATTCACAACCAACTCCATGTAATTCATCATTCAACTACATCAGGTGTGTAATCCGCGACATCAACATGAATGAACCCAAGGTAATGTTTCAAACGAAATATGCGTATAACTTCAAAAAATTATCATGCTCCTTCAGGAAAAAGGAGGAAATAAAGATTGAAAAATAGATAAACTGCTAAAATGAAAATATAGATAAACTGCTAAAATGTGCATCCATCAAAAAGAAAGACAGACAGATATTAACTCTGCAGGATGCACAAAATTCGAGAGATAGAATAAGAAATATGTGATGATAAGGAAAGAATTTCTTACTGAATCTTTATTGCCATGACCATATTTGCTCTGCATCTGTAACAATTGCCAATTACTGGTATTAAAATCATACACATTTAAACACCATACAAAAGAAGGATTTAAAACAATAAAATTTCATCTACTGACCTTGAGAGAGAAGTCAGTTATATCTAGCAACAATAGTTTGGCCTCAAAGTGATGCGCTAGTGCCTTTGCAAGCATCTGTTGATATAGCTCTTCAAATACGTATCTCTACAATCAGTATGGAGCATAAAATATACATATAGCTAAAATGCTTAAATAGCACACTACATATTTCAAACTTGGGTGATTACCTGCAGGGCCTGAGAGTAGAATGGCTCGACTTGCAGGAGATAGCTTCCGAGTATACTTAGTAATTTCTGCTTGCTTTAAATGAACAAAGGCTGCACTTGTCAAGACAGCATGGGTTTGATCACTGCCGCAAAAGATAGGAACAATTAGAATAAACAAACAACATTGGTTACTGGAATAGGGGCATTTCAAACTTTGAAAGCAAAACTCGAAGATGTAGCTACAATGAAATACCACAATGAAATAACCCTTTTCCAACCACACGAATAAAATGAATTGAGATATAAACACATTGTGTAGTTTTTTTTCCCTCAATTGAAATCAAGAAAACATATCAACACTAACTAACATCATGTCTGTGTTGTCTAACACTTTCCCCTGTTCTTTTCTATCTTTTATAGCCACTTTGCACATGTTAAAGAATGAAAATTTTACTCAACCATATGAGACTGTGATAATATGAAAAAACATGTCGGCCAGTCATCATCGCATTAAACACCTAGGTGAGTAAATGCTAACAAAGCCGCTTGTTTAGACTTGGCCTAAGTTACCCTTTTGCCCCTTTGGATCTGCTATAAAAGGGAATTGATGTCTGCTGCTTAGGGTAAGCAAAGTCTGCCTAAAAAACTATTTCACATTTAGTCATCTTCTCCACTCAGGCTTGGTACTAACTTGACCGTCGAATGAACCACCAGAGATTCCAACTCCGACCTCCTACTATTCTAAAATTTAAAAAATGTACATATAATATTATTGAAAAAATCATGTCGCATGAGGATCACCAGAAACATGGCTAAACATATTAAATTAAAAGCATATTAGACAATCTACAAAGAAAATCCTAGCAACTGATACAGGGGGAAATATAGAAAAAAAGGCTTTTGTAGCAGGCATTAATCTGTTTAATTAAATACAACCAAAACTAAATACTAACCCATGGTAAATAGGCAGCAGAGAGTACAAGAAATCTGCAGTCCGTCCCCTGAATGAGTTCTCCTCAAGAAGCTTGCAGTATCGAGCAAGGAAAAACATGTGGAATAAGAAGTTCAGGTCTGTCAACAACAACAAACGCAAATGAATAAACCAAGATCAAGTAGATAAATTCAAGAATATGTTGAGGGTTCAAAATAAAGCAAATACATAAAGTAGGCAAAAGAGAACACGAATCTAACGACAGAAATTAGAAATTTATGCCAGAAAGGGCATGAGTTGCCGCCGGAGTTTGATCCTCAGGCGTTGATGAAAAAACATTTAAAAATCAAAAGTAAAATTTAGAAAATGAGCAAATCATACCTTCGTCAATGAGCCTCATTCGTGATCGTAACAGATGCCCAATATCTGAGAAGTGAGGAGATGATGGCAGAGGAGGTGCGGTGATGATGAGGGCTTAGGGCATCGGGTACTCATCGTTGGCAATTAATGGTTTAAGAAAGTGGGAGGGCGTTGCCGGAGGTGAAGGGTAACCGTCGGAGAATGAAAGAAACGAAGGCTTTAGGGCTCCCAATTTCTTAACCCTGTTTAATGATAAAAAGGGATAAAATTGTTATATTTATAATAGCTGAAGGGTATTTTGGGCTAGAGAAAGTTTTTCATGAACTCCCTCTTTTAAAGGGTAGATAGATTTTATCTATATTATTAAAAACTTAGTGAGCGTACAAAATGTTTGAAGGACATAAAAAATTGTCACTCATCACAAATTATATACATGCATACAATTTGATCATTGCACAAAAAGTTTTAATTGTAATTTCAAAGAAGATATTTTTCCCATTGTTTTCCATTCTATTTCTTTTTCTAGAATACTCTAAAAGCATGAGATGGCACAGAATTAAGGCTTACAAATTAAATATCTATCACAGCGTGCTATAAAAGATATAACAAAATGATAAGCTTATTTCCAATAAAACTTTAGTAGATATATGTAACACAATACAAAAAATATTGGAATTTCACTATATTTTTATGCAAATGTTATCAAAAGTTAAAATATATCCATATATTTACCTTACAAATAATTAAATTTAACAGTCTGAGTATAAAATATGAAAAGACTACTTATTAACATTATCTAAAATGTTTTTCAGGATGTTTTTTTAAATTATCCTGTAGATTATGATACACTCTATTTAGTTCAATTATATTGACACTGCATGTGCATTTGCACGTGCCACAATGCTAGTTATTATTTAAAAAACTTAGTGATGGTACCCAAATTAAAGTTTGAAGGATATTTTACATAGGAATAGAAATGTGAGAGGTATATAGGTAACACTTTATTTATTAATTTTCTTTTCTCTTTTCTCTTTATAGAACAATCTAGACTATAACATGAGTATACAATTAGAGCTTACTAAGTTGAATATCTATTATAATTTGTGCTGCAAAATATCTATTCTAGTATATTAAAAACTTGGTAGAAGTACCAAAAGGTTTGAAGGATATTTTACATCCCAAATATAAATATGAGTGGTATATAGGTAATTTTCCATTTCTTTTTTCTCTTTTTGCTTTTCTTTTTTTAGAACATTCTACTCTATGATATAAGTATACAATTAGAGCGAATTACTTAAATATCTATCACAATTTGTGTTGTATATGAGAGATGTAAATATAAAATGATAAGGTTGTTTTCTAAAATAAATTATCAGATATGAATGTATATAGATACAACAATTGAAATTTCAATGTGTTGTAATCTAAATATTAAATCAAAGCATATCTACATATTTGGGTTAAAATAACTAAAAATAATAATTTGATGGTAAAATATGAAACATATTCTTCTTATTAACATTGTTTGAAGTGTTCTTACGATGGTTTTTTGAAATTACTCCACTAAATTACTATGTACCCCCATTTTCTTTCGTTAAAATCACATCACCGGTCAAATTGAAATAATACGCTATACCCAATCCCAAATAAGTAATGATGCGGCATAAACATATACCTAAAAATTTCAAGTGCACAATCAATTAAGTTATAGTATAAAAAGTTAACGATCCCACGATGAAGGTGTTTTGTAGGAGAAAATTAAAATTGGTTCTTATGTTGTGTGCGTGACAATTAGGAGTGATGAATGAATATGATTGTGGAGAGATTGAGAGAATGAAAATGGTGTGTAAATAGGCTCAAATGTAAGTGAGAGTGGGTGTGACAATGAATGAATGATTTTCACAAGGAGAGATGAATAAAATCAAGAATCAAAAAAGAAAATCAAGAATAAAAATAAAATTCAAGAAAGTAAAGATGACGGATTCAATTAAAGATATGTGTAATCTAGAATTGAATCCACTTCTTAGAAAATGATGATTCCCTATAGGGTTCTAGCCTAAAGGCGAATTAAAAAAAATAAAAATAAACAAAAAGAAAAACTAAACCCAAGAGTGTTCTAGCCTCAAGGTGAATAGTACAAGAAATTAAAACCTAACTACAAAATAAATTATAAAATCTAAACTACAAAACAAATTACAAGAATTAAATGTAAGAAAATAAATTTACTCTATAAGCATGAAATAAATCTAATCTATAAGTATAAAATAAATCTAAGACAAGAGGGTTCTAGCCTCTTGGCTATTTAAACAAGAAAATAAAATCTAACTACAAGCATGTAAATAAATCTAAGCTACTAAGCAATAAGAAAAGAAATAAAAGAGAAAATAAGAAAAACTAAGCTACTAAGCAATAAGAAAAGAAATAAAAGAGAAAATAAGAAAAACAAACCTCCAAATTAATCTTCTTCTCCATCTTCATCATCCAACAAAGAGAAGAAAAATTTAAAGTGGTGAAATTTTTTTTATTAATTATAACAAAAAATTATAAATTTAGAAGGTCTTCTCAATTAAGAGTAACCCTCCTCTCTAAAAGGAGATACAAAATTTTTCACACCCCTAACCCCTCACTCTCCACCCCTATTTATAGTAAACATCAATGAATGAGAGCCCTTGGATTGAATCCTTATCCAAAACTATCAAAAATCAGCCATTGCTATGTAACTGATTCGTCAGTATCGATGCCAGCATCGATGCTGGCATCGATGCCCTATCAAGTTTCTGCCTTCATGGATGGCTTCGTCTCGTCGAGATAGGTGATTTTCATATATTATATGTTAAATTTCACCTTCCGGATTGAGAGATATCATCGTTTCTTTGCGGCCAACTATCTTGAATATATTTTTTTTTCATATTTGATATTTGATTTTTTTTTTATTTTCTCTGGCTTCTACAGGCTACTCGGCTTGATTCTGGGCTTGGGCTTTTTGGCTCTTGCTTGTGTTCTTCATTTAATTCATGGGTTTTTGTTGAGAGAAGAGATCTTGGGCTTTATTCTTTATTAACCTACAATTAAAGATAAAAACACTTATTAATGACATATTTATTTATATAAAATAGATAATGAGTGTATAAAATTGTAATAAAATGTGATTATCAAGTAACATAAAATAACTCATCTCAAATGAAAAAAAATATCTTCTAAGCTCGATACAACATTGTTGTAAGTGCCCCATTTATATAAAATTTAGGATCACTAAGTTTCTACATCTATTGCATGAGCATTTGTACGTGCAATAATGCTAGTCTATATGTACTAGTATGGTGCACGTGCATTGTATGTGTTTCTATTTTTATGAAGGTTATAAGTGCACATTATAATGATAATTTTATCTATCTAATGTGTACTTTTACTATATAATAATATTTCAAATTAGTTTGATTTGCATTCAACAATTTCTTAGATATCAAATCAGTTTTCCCAGTCATAATATTTATACATTCTATTTAGGGTAAATTTCACAAACACCCCCAGATAAACCTCCTAAATATTTAAAGTAACACAAACCTCCACAAGTTTTGTAATGCACTTGTACACCAAGAGAAGTGTGTAGCGAGAGTCGGGATCGTCCCAAGAAGAGTGACGTCGGTTGACGAATCTAGGGAGAGGTTGTATCCGAGCACTTGAGGGAGACATGTCTAGTTCAACACTTGAGAGGTCTAGGGAGAGGTTGTATCCGAGCACTTGAGGGAGACATGTCTAGTTCAACACTTGAGAGGGTGTAGAGTAGGATTACAAGAGTGTGTTAGTTTACAAGAGTGTGTTAGTTGTAGAGTTTTCGGTAAACTA